TTTTCGAAGTTTTGGCTTAACGATTTACAACCCAAAGTTCGAGTATTAGATCGAGCGGTTTTTAGACGACATAACCTAAACGAGAATCGAAGATCTCATTGTTAGTAGCGTAACGATAAAAAGACAGACGAAAATGGACATTGGATGAAGAAGTTATGAGATTTTAACGGACCAATCCTATCCCGGTCTGTTAAAAAAATTATAACTTTAAAAATAATGTCAAAATTAGCCGACGAAGTCTAAACGAAAGTTATAGAGTACGTCTCCACCTACGCGTGGATATAAATCACGTCAAAAACGGATTTCGTATGAACGAGTTACAAATTATAATAGCATATATACGTATTAAAATAAAATATAAATCATATATACGTACACACATATATATATATACATGTGTATATATCATTAGAAAGGTACCGACGATGCGGTCATTATAAGACTAATGTTGAGTTCCTTCGACATTAGTTTAGTACAAATATCATTAAATCTATTTAAAATAGTATTATAAAGGGGTGTTTAATTGTTTATATAACTATAAGGTCATTAAGTAATTATGGAGGGTAGTTTTTGAAAATTCAATTAGTATAAATAAGGGTCTCTAGCTCTCATATTTCTTCCACCATTCTCTTGATTCATGAGTCTTTCTCACCTTATCCCCCGAGCATTTCGGTCCCTCGTGATTCGAATTCTCTTTCTATAGTTTTAGTATAGTAAGGTGAGCGCTGAAGCGCTGCACGAATCTTTCTTAGAAAGATTCACTGACGAAGTTCTGCCCCTGTAGAGCCTGACTCCTATCTAAAATTTCCTTGTAAGTAAGTTATACTTATTTTAAATATAGTTTATATTTAAAATTAGTATTGTTATTATAAATTTATAATAAGTATTTGAGCTATTATTATGACTTATATAACTGTCGTTATAATATCTTTTTAACTATTCGCGGTACGGGGAATCTGGTTTAAAGGGCCGCTTAGGGTTGTTGGATTTTAGAAGTGCTATATGCCAAAATGGTCCTGCCCTCTAATGTTTTATGTTTGGCCCATGTCTGTACATAGTGGTTGGAAAGTATTGTTTAAAAGTTTATATAATAATAATAATAATAATAATAATAATAATAATAATAATAATAATAATAATAATAATAATAATAATAATAAGACTAATAATTAGTCACGGTAAATATTAGACTAAAATCTAGTGGTAATAATACTAGGTTTCGTCGAAGGAAATTATTTTAAAGTAAACGAAGCACTATCCGAGTACCGAGTCACCACCTTCTCAAGTGAGTGCATAGTTACTTTCATCTTACACATAAGTATGAAGTATTTTATATAAATTACATGCTATGTGTGCATATTATCTAAGTACTTGCTGTCTATGCCAGATGAACGATTGTATACATGTTTTAAATGATTTAAACTGTATATGTATTTTATATCTACGATAATGCTAGGGTAAAACATGGGTAGATGTAATAGATGGAATATGAGTTGGGTGATGAGTTGAGAGGTGTTATAGACCACGAGGTGAGGGTGAGAGGTGGACGACGTGAGAAGCCTTTCCCAAATGATGGCCCCATCATTTAGCAGAGTATGGATGACAACCACGGACTAATATAGACAATCCAGTGGAACACTAGCAGGCTCGCAACCTGTAGGTGTTGTGAACGATGTGTTCACCCAGTGTACTCTAAACCCTGACGTCCATGCAGACTTGGTGCCTAAACCTTGGTGATCATGCATACTTGATGCCTAAACCTTGGTGATCATGCAGACTTGATACCTAAACCTTGGTTATCATGCGGACTTGATGCCTAAACCCTGGCGACTATGCGAACTTAATGCCTAAGCCCTGGCGACTATGTAAACTTAGTGCCCGTTGTGTAAACCGTGGCAACGACGGACTTCATGCCGATTCCTTAGTATGATCCTTAGGAATTAATGAACGAGGAATAGCTGATTCTTAGGGTAGATCCTTAAGACTAAAGAAGATAATGGGGATGGGTAATTAGGTTGATTGTTTGATTGTTTAAACATAATAATTAAATTATTGTGGGTTGAAAACCCTATGTACTCACCACGTTTCCCAACCTGACCCACTCAGTTTATTTATATCACAGGTGTCGATGTGAAGTGACATTACACTGATAGATTAAGGAGATATAGATCACTAGTGTAAATTAATGTAAGTTCTGTTTATGCTTATGTTTCTGTATTGACGATGACATCCCAAATGTTTTAAAATGAATAAAATATGTTTCTTCATAAATGCTTTGATAACGTATTTATCGTGTTTTTCTGGGAATAAATTGTGCAACATTTTTTTTATTAAAAGAGGTACTGTGATTTTTAAAAAGCATAAACAAAATCGGTCTTTTCTGGCCGAGAAAATGGGGATGTCACACTTGACTTTTTTTTTTCTTTTCATCATTATTTCGCAACATGCAATCATTTGCCATGTGATTTGCTCCGTTTCAATAATGACAGTCAATTCCTGAATCTCCTTTAAGCCTTTTCTCCACCTTTGCTTCTTCACTCTTTACTTCTTTCTTCTCTATCTTCTTCTATTCATTCACTTTTCCAGAAAAGTTGTCCTTCGCTTCACTTACTATTGACTACGCATTAAAAGGTTTTTTTTTATAAAACTTCTTCACTCGATTAATTGAGTAAAACGCTACAGCTTCATCATCAGAGTCGACTATCAAACCTTCATCTTCCGAATTCTCCTTCTGAGCCAATTCTTTTTCATTGTCTCTTCCAAAAACCTTCGACACTAGAGCAAGGGACCACCCAGACTGATCCTTGTTTATTTAGCTATCACTTTCATTTCTGATTCATGTGCATTCAACACATTGTAGAGATCATTCAGTGAAAAATAGTCGAAACTTTGTTGTGTCTTTACCATAAGACTGACATTTCGCCACTCTTTGCGAATCCCCATGATGAATGTTAGATTGAACTCCATTATTGACCTTGTGATTCCATATCTGTTGCATTTGAATATAAGTTCATTTAGACGATCATAATACACTTCAATTAATTCTACTTCTTTCTACTTAAACTCTCTTAACTCCAACATACGTTGTTTAACTGAACTGATTTTTGTTTTCTCACTACCTTGATACTTTTCCTTCAAAGTGTTCCAAATCTCCTTTGAAGTTTTGTAGATACGCACATAATTGTATACGGCTGGTGGAAGAGCACCACGGAGTTCTCACATACATTTCTTCTCATTTTTCAGCAGCTTCTCAGTTTGTTCATTAACATTTTGATTTGTAGCAGAAGTTCCAACACTTCGAACAACAGAAGGAGGATGAACATCATCAGTGATGTATTTCCAAAGTTCCTCATCAATTCCATTCAAGTAGGCCTCCATATGATCAAACCATTGGTCGTAGAACTCATGAATCAACATAGGAATCTTCGTTGATGATCCAAGAAGATGAGAATATGACTTCATGATGTTCATGTTAAAATTCGCCATTGTTATACGGAAGGTTTTTGAGAAAACTTCAACAATTAAAATTTAACGGATGAATCAACCAAAAATCAGATACTGAACACTCGATTAAACAAACTAAATGTAGAATCGAATCAAAATTGAAGATTTATTTAAGATTTTTAGAATCAAAAGAACGAAAACTTTTGAATCTAGAATGAGACTCAAAATACTTTTGAAACGTAAGAAAATCAAATCAACGCAGAATGATTCCTGCTCTGATACCAATTGTAGAATAGATTGAATCGAGTTTGAAATATGAGATCAGAGTAAAAAAAAGATTTATAACACATGATCTAGATATAATCTGGTAGGCTCAGTTTATGCTTTCAGGGAATACAAGAGAATAATGGAGAATACAATCATAGTGCAATAGCTTATTCTCTAAATCTAGTATCCATCCCATATATATAGGGATAATGAAAGCATACAGAAAATATAAGGGACTAAACTTCATAGATTCGATAAAAACATTGCCCTTATAATAAACAGGCAAACTTGCTTTCGACACTCAAAATAGCCTAGATAAGTTTCGATATGTCACAACTACTTTCGACCTCAACATAGAGGTGGTGTCACCAAAACCTAAATCGAGGAAGACGTAAAATCGAGAAAGTAAGGTTTGCTAGAAACTGGATAAAATATGGAACAAATGGAGAAGATAGAGATGAATGCTAAAATCAATCTACATGCAGCGAGAAGCAAGTGGAAAAGGTGAGAGAAAAATGCATCATTTGTAGGCACATGAATCCTATGGCTATACATTTTTTAGCCAAAGCTAAAGAGTTAGAGCCAACTAAATAGAATCCATGTCTTAAAACCGGCCAACCAAAGAAAAACCAGTTTGGCTTGGCTCAATAATTAAAATTATCCATACATCTTCGCACTTTTAGTGTGTGTATGTGTGTGTGTGTGTGTGTGTGTGTATATATATATATATATATATATATATATATATATATATATATATATATTGGTAACGTATCCCTCAGGAAAAAAACGTTAAAGAAGAAATGTGGAGCCAATCAGAGAGCTCCACGTACCTATCTGACAACAGCCACCATCACCATTATACCGAAGATTCCCCTCTAGCTAATGGGGGGATGAGATAGAAAGACATGATAAAGGATCCTTCAATACAGATTCGCCACATCACGTCTCACGAGGGAAGGCTCTGTAGAATCAGTTAGAAGGCATGTGGCTCTCGATCAGGTATAAAAGGAACCCTTCTTCCTAGTGGAGAAGGGGACCAAACTCTTTTTCTCTCAGTCATTACCCTATCTTCTCTCAGAATCAATTCTAACTTGATCGTCGGAGCTTCGTCCTGGGAACCACTCCTGGACGTTGTCTAATGACTATCTCTTTTCTTTGTACTGTGATATTTGGAAAAGGAACCAACTCAACACCCACACCACCATTTCCGGCATATCACAACATTTAGCGCCATCCGGAAGTATCTTTAGAATGTTACATCCACGAAGCAAACCCAAAGAGCAAAGATGGCAAGCAAAATTATGGCGGTGTCGGGGGAAGCGGAGAAAAGTTTGGTGCGTCCAATGAAGCCGCTAGACGGAGGGCAAGTTTCCGTCCAGGAAGAACACACTTCAAATCGCATGCTAGTCTCACAGACACCATTTAGCTCTACAACTGAAACGACGGCAACCTACATAGCTAATCAATGGCATCTAACAGTTAATCTATCTCACCAAGTAGAAATCATAACCACAACAATGCAGATCGTCGCAACACAACAAACAGAGATACTTGTTTCTCAGCAACAATTTGTTCCACATAGTTCAAGCACCAGGACCTAGATCCCTCACAATACTCAACCGCAATCACAATATTTATCGATGTTTTACCCACATATAACCAAGGCAGGCATGCCCCACGTGTCATTGTTAATGTAACAACCATCGATGTTCAACCCCTTCGTACAACAAACTCAAGGTCTAATTTCAGAAGTGTCTCAGCCGCAAGTCACATGTGTACAGACTTCGATCAGCCAGGGATCCAGCTCTTATGGACCTGGCATTAATTTCTCAACAGCACTCGAATTCACCTCTTCCATGTCGATTGCTCAACCATTCTACTTGTCTGCACAACTGGGCATGGGAGCAAACAAATACATAGTTCACCCAATAGGAAAATATGCATTTCAATAATTTGGATCACAACCAAACTTGTAATAGTATAAACCGTACATCTCACCGACAACCATGTACAACCAGATATACGTGAACCCCTACCAAGAGTAGCAGTATAATTCCTATGGTGGTATGCCGTACTCGTACATGGATAATCCCATGCAAAATGCAAGTTCTAATTTCAGCCATGAACTACTATAGTATGAGATCCCACATACTACGATGTTATCGAACATACTGAAATATGACGGTACTTCGGACCTAGATGACCACATCGACAACTACGAGTAGACAATGACATCCCTTAAAATGGACCGTCGCTTCACCTGCTCTTATTTTCTGTGCACTCTAATAGGAAACGTAGGAAAATAGTTCAAGTCTCTGAGACTAGGTAGTATTTCAAGTTTTGAGCAACTAAAGTTCCTTTTCCTCAACAACTTCATGCAATTGAGGAAAGGGAAAAAGGATGATAACTTTGTGATGGCGTGTAATAAAAAACAATGAGAGTCGATTTGTGCCTACTATGACCGGTTCATGTTGGATACTTTGAACTTCCGAGGACATGAAGAGTTCCTGGTGACGGGCGCTTTTGCTCAAGGTCTGCTTCTGGGGCCCTATCTAAGAAGATGCAAGGGACAGTCCCCATAACCAAGGACGAGGTCAAGTTCCGAGTGGGAAAATACCTTAGAGAAATCAAAGGCGAAGAAAGAAAGGAGGATCACACGTACATGAAACAGGAGGAGGCGGCATCCCGACCAAGTTAGAGTCAGCAGGAGAGGCAAGAGAGTTATCAGCAGAAACACAATCGCCACTCTAGACACATGTCAAGGAGATATAGGACGTTCAATAAAGATGACAACATGAATGGTCATACAGATGTCCATGCAATCAACAAAACTCCATCAAAGGAGAGAATGGACAAGGCCAAGTTCTGTGAGTACCACAAGAGCAAAACCCATGATACCACCGAATGTACGATGTAGAAAAGGGAGATAGATGAGAAACAACTGGTTGGAAACATAGTTGACATCACAAAAGAGCTCAGAACAAAATTTGATAAAGACCAACACCAATCTAGAAATCAAAAAGACAGGGAAAAGGGCCATGATAAGAGGCCATATATATTAACCATCACCGGGCTTCACCCTCGCAGCAATTGTCAACGCCAACAAGCCAACGCAACGCTATACAATTGAAACATGCTTAACATGGACCTTTCAACGAGTGATCCTAGACCAGAACATTGGGATCCGAACGACCCATTGCATATCAAAGGGTTCATTGGTCAAAAACGTGTTAAATGTGTATACATTAACAATGGAAGATGGGTCAATATAATCTATGAGCAATGCGTTCAGCGGTTGCCAATCGAGTGGAAAAAGTATATCCAACCACCACATCAGGGCCTGCTTGTTGGTTTTACTGGTCATGGCATCTGGCCGGAAGGCACAATCATGCTCCTATTTATACTAGTTAGTCACGACAGGGCAGAGCAGATAACGAGAGTGCCCGAGTTCTAGGTTGTTGACAGTTCGGCAGAGCATAATATCCTACTGGGCTGACTCGTACTATTTTAACTACAAGTGATTCCATCGACCCTCCATGGCATCCTCAACTTCAGTACAATAGATGGGTCGGCAGCGGTCGTAGCAACAAGGCCAGATAATGAGCACAGTACCCATCTAGAAATAAGGCAAGAAATCAGATCATGCCAAAGTGAAAGTTTTAAGAAAGTGGAGAATCAATGGTGGACATCGGCGGTGGTAGAAATATTGGCCAATAAGTCAAGGGAAAGGTGTAGAGATGTGCTCAGACAACTCACAACATCCCAGTCATGGAAAAAAGCAAACACTGATCCAATGAAAATTCATCCAGAACACAGAGCAAAAATCGCAAGGCGAGGAAATGCCTATTTATGGGCAGGAGCATCTATCCAACCTGCAATCAATGGCCAAGCCACGCTCAGGAAAAGAATGATTCGAGACCTAAATCAACTCTTCGCTAGTCTCGAAGATAAGCAAAACCCCTTTAGGATGAAGAAGTCAAGAGCTAGTAACAACACAGATAGTAACGACGCATCAATCACTCTAACATTCATGATTCACTATAGAAAGGAACAAAGCAAGGTCTCTGATAAAAATAACAAAACCCCGAATAGCCGTGTGAAATGCAAGACTGCTTGGCGTGCAGAAAAGAGCAAGCGGTGTTTTCACCCGGTCAAGGGGAGGCGCTCCTAAAGGTCACAACACATGTTAGGCCAAGGAAAAGGGGAAGTGCGAGTGCCTCCAGAGCATGGAGGACAAAATTTGGCTTTTCACGCCAAGACCTGGTAGCAGAAAGAGAAAGGACCCCTAAGCTAGCAAGAAACACTTGGAGGAAATGATAAAATGACGCACGACTATGATGAGGCAGCCATAGTGGAGCACCTGAACGAAAATAAAGCGTGTAAGTCCCAAAAATATGAACCAACTAGTGATCAATCGAATAAGCTAAACAAAGGTAGAATCAACGCAAAGAAAATCAGGAAGAACAAAAAGAAGCAAAATCAATCCAATGTACACGATTGTATATTCAAGAAATCGTTTGGTACAATGGAGCCTTCACAGCACTATGACCGAAAGCTGCTTGCTCTAGAACCGGTCATGTGAGTATCCTTATATAGGGAACACAAATGTACAAGCCAACCCAAAACCGAAACCATCAAGGGACCGAAATCAAGGTTGATTTCAGTCCAACCAACCGAAAACACAAAATAAGCCCTAACAAAGAATAATAAAGCCTACAAAATATATATGCCTAACACAAACCAACAAAATAGGTCCTAAGAATCTCCCCTTGGTTTGATGTTGGCTTGATCTCAAGGCTTGTCGACAATCAACACACCTGAGCTTCCCATAGCACCTTCCCACGTCCTGTTGTTTATGATTTCAGCAACCATACTAGTGAATTCTTTGGCAGCAACCTCAAAAATATCATCTTTGACCAAAATTTGATGCCCTGTCAGTGTACAGATATCACGCTCACCGAACTGTAAGAGATCCTTCTCTTCAAGAAGATAAATGACACCAATCTGAAGCTTGATGATGGTGGTGGCTGTGGCTTCATCAAAAAAAACCAATAGTCCATATTATTCATAGAACTGTCAGGTGACCGCTGAATAATAGAAATTTGTTTCATCTGTTTGGTGGGAGGCCACATCACATTCTTCACCGTTCGGTTGGTGTTGGGATCAAATACAACTTTGACTTTCTTCATGAAAGAATCTGCAGTCTTCATCCCATCGAACTTTCTCTTCACTTGATTCTCTATGAAGAGGTTGAATTTATTTCCACATAGGTCATTCGATGGGTTGTGGAATGGAGCACTAGCCAATTCTATAAGATCAACCTTATTCCAAGAACTAAAGTATTCTCATAGTACTCCACATTGCCAATGCTTCATTTGACCGCCCATATATTCTTATTGTTGTGAAATCCCCACACCTTTAAGCCCGATCAATCTCCATACTTGGCTTTGAATATGTTTTTTTCGAGCACAGTGACACTCAATTGAGGCTGATCCCACGGATGTTTTGTTCGGAGTTTTTCATGAAAAGTAATTGATATTTTCCTTGAGTTTTGGCTTGCCTCTGAGCTCGCTTCAAGATTACTATGGTATCAACATTAGCAGGTTCATTATCAAATCGGTCAACAATACGAGTAGCACTAGCCTGGCAAGGAATATCTTGTGGTACTGGGGAAGGTACACTTGAGGATGCATTAGCTTCATTAGGCTCATTGATAGATGTCGTGAATTTGTCACCAAATTTACTAATTAGCTTAGCCTTCAAATCAAAGTATACAACAGTAAAAGCACCAAGATTTAGCTGCAGATCATAAATTTGTTTTGACTTTTGATCATTTTCTCTTTCAAGCTCGGAAACTCTAACATCCAAAGTTCCAATCATGACATCTTTCTCAATATGTTTCTGATTCAAGATCCCGATTTCTTCCTTGAGCTCAAAAATTATTGGGCCTTTATTATCAGAGCTCCCTGTACCAATTGATAATTTGATATACCTTTACCTCTACGTGTAGGGTCAACGCTTGTTCATGCTAGAAACTTGGAAAGCCTTTCGGAAGTGGCATCATGCGCATGTTGAGGGGCTGAAGAACAACCAGGAGCTGAAGAGCTTCCTGCTTCAAAAGATGTATGAACAAAACTTGGCCCCTCATGAAATATTTGTCTTTCGACACGAGCTGGTTGGCCTGGATCATTGGTTGGGATTGGTTATTGAGCAGGTTGAGTTTAATCCCTAATGAGCACTCCCAGCCTAGGATCTGCATGTTTTCATTTCAGTGGTGGTTGGGAGGCTTGAGACTCTTCAAGTTCACATTCAAATGGAGTAATGTTTCGAGTGATAATTACTCGGGGAGGAACCCTTGCAGTTGAATCCAATTGAACTATAGTATCCACAATTTGAGTGGGTTTTTGAATTGGAAGCTTGAGAATGTTAGTATCTCCCTCAGTCTCTGTTGCAGAACTAACAACATCATTGAATTCATCAGCATCAAAAAGTGAACAAAAGTCATCATCACTCAGCTCAAAATCAAACGTGAAATCTTTATCATTAAAACCCGATACATCACTCACTTCATCATCACATTCTCCTTCATCATCATCATCAACATCAAGAACGGCCACGTGCTCCTCTGCCATTATTTCCACATGAGGATTTACAGCAGGAACAACGTTAGGTTTAGGAACTGGAATATCTTGAAGAATAGGAGCTTCTTCGATCTCAGCAAATTTTCCAAATTTTACTAAAGGGCTTGTTCCCCTGAACACAACCTTTGAGCCTTTGTGATTCTGTTTCATCAAGCAAAAGGTGTTTGGAACCAAGGATTTCATATCCAAAGTTTCACCTGTCCTTTCCAACTCGGGATATTGATCATCAAAGATCATTTGTAGAAACCTTGGGAACATCAAGAATACATCTTTATTTTTCAATTGTAGGCTACTCTTCATATCATTGAACACAAGTTTTGAAAAACTGAAGTCCAAATCAATGATGAGAGCAACAATGGCACATATAGATGATTGGGAGATCTCATCCGCACCCCCTTTTCTACCTGAAATGCATATCACGAAAGTGTGAGCAAGAAAGTGCCAGTAGGGAGGGAGTAGCTTCTTCATGGTTGGAGGAAAGGTTCCTTCATATCCCATTCTTTCGAGAACCTACCTAATCTGAGTAACAGGAATTTCAGTCGGGAATCCTTGTTGATCTTCAAATCGAAGAACTTCTCGAATGGTTTGTTCATATACAATTACTTTCCCACCCTTTACTATTGACTCAACAGTGCCTTTTCCATCTGCTCCTGCTTTATTGAAGGAAGCCTTATCCCATAATTCACCCACTAGATTTTTGTTAATGACAAGATTCGTGCGAAGAGCATGAGTGATCCTGCAGTTTCTTAGACCATGAACCATGGATTTAAATTTCTGATAACTCAGTGGTGGATCAGAAAGATATCTAGCAATGTTGTGTGTTTCAACAAATTTAAAATCAGCCATTTGTTTGCACCAAACGAGCCAAGTGAGAAAAGCATAATTAAACATATAAAGTTAATTTTCTCAAAACATTTATTTCAGTCAAAGTTAAACAGGCTTGAATTGCCCTTTGAAATTGGTCAAAATTAAATTGATTTAAGTCAAAATGGTCAAAATTTATCGTTTTCAGTCAACGTGGTCAAAATTCAATTAGATTTGGTCTGTTTTGCGGTTGGATTGGGTTTTCGGCCGAAAACGTCCCACCGTAAACCAAAAGCCTTGAACTTTGGTTTGCGGCCGAAAACATCCCATTGTAAACCAAAACCCTTGAATTTTGGGGTTTCGGCCGAAAACGCTTCACCGTCAACCAAAACCCCATTTTGACGAAGAACTTCCATCAGAATCGTGATTAGCCTAAAAAAAACTTGCAAAAACTTAACAAAATCTTGTTAGATCCGATGCACTATGCTTGCAATCCACTTATGTTGATGATTCGGTGAAAAAATTTCGATTAAACACACAGAAGATAATGAGTCGGGTAAGGGGATTTGAGTAGCAAATGTGAATAAGATAGAGAGAGAAGGAGGATATTGCGACGGAAAACGTGAAATGCAAATCTGAAAACCCTCCCTTTTATATCCTAATTAGGGTTTGTGGCCCATAACACAAATCTGATGGGCCTCATCCAAATATTTAAATCCTCCTTAAAAATTGTCCATTTCCATTTAAATAATGAGACATTTTGAAGACTTAAAAATAAAATAAAATAAAAAACTAAAAATTTAAATGCAAACAAATTTTCAATTTTTTAGAAAATAAAATAAAAATAAAAATTAGAATTTAAAATTAAAAATTAACACAAACCACACTTCAAAATTAAAATTTAAACATTTTGGGATCATACGTTTTGAAACAGCCTTAACTTGTTTTTCTTTACCTTACTTGCATGAATAGATCTGGTCAATCACCGGTATTATGGTATACTAAAACACGAAGGATATTGAATGTTTGACAAATTATACATGACAAGACATTGCACCTATATTCCTAAATACACCATTTAGCTAATGAAGAGCAATGATATTGTTGTCCACTTAAATTTAGCAGCAGGATCTACAGACAACCTTTTAATTGGTTCAATTTTAGATGCACTAGAACGTGTTCCCCACTTCCCGACATACCCTGGTAATCAAGAACTTCCAACGAATTCCTTACTTTAGGTGAGTAGACAATTATTAAAAGAGAAGCTAGATTTTAGAAATGCATATGTCGTATACCCAGGTCAGATTTCTTCCAATCACATAGAGGGATAACATATGACTAACCAGAATAGAGGTATTGAAAGGTAGAATGTCGCATATGATGTGTCCCAGGTCGGATCTCTTCCAATCCACCTGAAGTTGATTTCCTGTCAAAACCACAACCTCCATAATTGCTATCAACAAAAACATATATATCAAATTCCAGATTTTTAGGATACAATAGCCCCAATTTAGGACTACCTTTGAGGTATCTAAAAATCCTTTTAACAACAATCATATGAGAGAGTTTAGGATTAGCCTCATATCTAACACATTGACAGACGGAGAACATAATGTTAGGTCTGCTGGCAGTCAAATACATGAGAGATCCGATCATCGATCGATATTCGGTTTGATCTATGGAATCTCCTTCTGGATCTGGTCCCAGCAGGGGTCTTTCGACCATT